GATTGTTGCGAGAACGTTAATTTAAACCGATAAGCAAGTGGCTAAATGTTTGATATAAAACCAAACCGTTTACATTACCCCGGCAATGATGAGAACGTTGATAAACGTGTAACTGGAGAAAGAGATATGCAGCCCAGACAGGACTCGAACCCTTAGACGGGCGCTCCCAAATGAGATACCTGGGGCCTGTTCGTTAATGCGGAACAACCGGTTTTGTCCGTTTTTAAATGTAACAATTTCGGGTATAAATCCAGGCGGACCTGCAAAAGTTTATGCAGGCCATGCAAGGCTTTGTCAAGGCTCGCCTGAAAGCAGCATCAGGTTACTAGGTCCGACCTTATTTAATAAACGAACAACTGTGGTCCGCCCGTTTAAACCGTTTAAACGAAAACGGCCTTGGTCACCAACGATCGACCCAGTCCAGTTTCGCCAAAAACGGACACACAGAGTTGACATGTGATACGATATATCTAGACATTGCACATTATGATGACGGTTATAATGGGTGTTCGGAGACATTGTATTGACGTTCAGTGTAGGATTACTTTCACAGATGAATTTGACATTGTTGGGTCAAGATTGGAAGCATATAATTTCTTTTGATCATGGTCTATCAAAGTTGGCCGATGTCATTTATGTATTTGCATAAATTATTATGCCCTTCCCATGTTCTATTAACTCTATGGAAAGTCAGTTTGCAGTTATTGGACAGTAACTGCAGTCATTATCTGGTAACATGACCATGGTTTTCGTGACGTCACTGACGTCATTCTCTGTCACCCAGATTGCATTCATTTTGACCGTAACTGCAATCTAACAGACGTTCAATCCTTAAATGAACACATATGCTCACACGTAACCTAGAACTTATTAGCCGTATATCGTTATACTAGGCATCTTGGTTATTCAAACAAATTCGTTTAAAGGTATGATCTTGAGACAATCTGATTAAAATCATATGTTACATGGCTTCACCTGAACGTGACCATGACCGCGGCACACTCAGATGTTCAGGCGTAGTACGAAGTTAACGAAGCCATGTAACATATGATTTTTATCAGATTTGATCTTGAGAGCGAGTCAATGGAATTCATTTCAGCAGACTCCCTTCGTCCTAGTATAATACAGAAAAAAAATGATTAAAGAAAAAAGTTGATGCCGGATAGACGGAAAACAGTCATCCGACACTTTTGAACACTATAACTCTTACGTTTTTAGACACTTCTGTTGTGTATCTCTGTATCACTTGTATGCTTTTTTTTTTTATATAAATCTGTATCATTTGTATGCCTATTTTATATACATCTGTATTATTTGTATGCCTATTTTATGACGGGAGAAGGCTGAGATAAGTTGCAATAACTGCACAATTCCATTGGCAATAAAATATGTTTGAAGTTTTAAGTAGAAGACTAGACATGATCTCAGACCGAACCCTTCAAGTCTCTTAGAAAAATGACATGTTTAGCTCCAAAGGACCGGTGAGCTTATGCCATGGCGCGGCGTCCGTAGTCCGTCGTCGTCCGCCACTCAGTCCCCTCTGGGAACTTCTTCCACTGTAGGGATGAAAGGATTTGTGCTATATTTGGTCAGAAGCATCCTTGGGGGAAGGGGAACAAATTTGTATAAGCCGTGGGTCAGACCCCCTGGGTGCTGCGGGGCGGGGCCCAATAGGGAAAATATTGCAAATTCTTTAAAATTCCTTTTCTTCTGTAGGAATGAAAGGATTTGTGCTATATTTGGTCAGAAGCATCCTTGAGGGAAGGGGAACAAATTTTGTATAAGCCGTGGGTCAGACCTCCTGTGTGCTGAGGGGCGGGGCCCAATAGGGAAAATATTGCAAATTCTTTAAAATTCCTTTTCTTCTGTAGGAATGAAAGGATTTGTTCCATATTTGGTCAGAAGCATCCTTCGGGGAAGGGAAACTCATTTTTTATAAACCTTGGGTCAGGCCCTTGGGGCTGAGGGGCGGGTCCTAATAGGGGAAATATTGCAAATTCTTAAAATTCTTTTTCATCTGTAGGAATGAAAGGATTTGTTCTATATTTGGTCAGAAGCATCATTGGGGGAAGGGGAATACATTTATTTTATAAACCGTGGGTCTGGGCCCCTGCGGGCTTAGGTCGGGGCCCAATAGGGGAAATATTGCAAATTCTTAAAAAATCCTTCTTCGTCTGAAGGAATGAAAGGATTTGTTCCATATTTGGTCAGAAGCATAATTTGGATACTCATTGAGACGTTGTTTGTATAGCGTCTTTATGGCAGCATTAATAAAGCGTAGGCTTTATCAATGTACAGGGCCCGAGTTCGACTCATGCAGTTTTCTTGTTTCTCGTTTATATTATTTATATTTCCAAACATTCAAATTTAAGTCAGCTGCTTCTCTGTAAAGTGCGCGGCAATAAGATTTTTACGGAAATTTCAATTGAAAAGAACTAAATAAAATATTATATTATTTATTTTGTATTGTTTTACGGCCCATCGTCAATTTGAGTCATTTATGGCCAAAAAACATTGTAAACTGGACATTCAAAAAAACCTAAATACATAAAAATAAGAAACATAAGGTGTCAAAATATATCAATAGTAAACGATATGATAGTGACGATAGTAGTAATGTATCATCATAAAATGATATGCACAAATTACAACAATTTTTCCCATACAAAAATATTATCCAAATAAATCATTCACTAGTAGTCATCGTGATCAAAGCTTTCGGTAACATAATTCTGTTTTCAAAGACATTTACAACAAAATAGCATCCCCGGTGGGATTCGAACCCACGACCTCCGGATTAGAAGTCCGGCGCGCTATCCACTGCGCTACGGGGACTTCATCCTTTGAACAGACGTACTCGTTTTCAATGATGGATTTATAATCTTGTAACCTTATTATATAAAAATCAAAACAACGTGCTTCCTTTGATTGCTTTTGATTTTAAATTCTTTTTAGATTAAGCTTTTAATTAACATTATTTTAAAAGTCATGGCTTCAGGTGAGAAATGAGTATATGTACCTATGTAATATATCAGTATTCAAATAACGACTTATAATACATATAGTATAATATAATTCCTTGGTATTCCTGGCTTGTCACATTTAAATGAGGTGATGTAACGATAAGGAAGAAGTTCAGTTACAGGTACACCTCATAGAAAAGATATCTCATTGATTATGCATGGCAATAGGTATGAGGTTTTATACGTCTCTGATTTGAATGTTCATATTTTTAGTTCTATTGAAAGGTATTTCTTGGTGAGATGTATAAAAACGAATATATAGAACACGAACAGTGATATCATGGGACAATCAATTAAATTAACCCTACAAATTCTTTCCCTATGAATAACATCAAGTGTCACAATAATGGGGCCCAAAATAAGTCTGTATCGTTTTAAAACTTACAATCTTTATTTTCTATTTTATCTTTAGGTTTTCCTTTTTACAGGTTTTTGTATTTAAGTACGTACGTGACTCAATAAATAATAAAAAAAAGACATCGAACATTACTATCTTGAAGTTGTTATATATTTCTATATATAACAGAAAATAATCGTGATGGATATTTTGTGTCGGATAGTCCCCAAGTCAGGATTTGTCCTAAAAGTACACAGTTATATAACTAGTTTCGACCAACGTAGTTTCTCAGGTTTCGTTAGAAACATACTGTTTTTAATACAATACCATACAATTTATTTTATTAGAAGTGCCACATGTCAATTTTGCATAAAATACATACATGCAATCATGATCTGAAACGTACAAACAATATATGATTGACACCCAGCCTACTAAGGCTTACGAGACACAATATATATTCGTTAGATTACTAAAATACTAAAAAGATTTAGATTGAATTTTTAACACATTCTTCTATAATACATCTAATGACATAGGTGAATGTAAACTGGATTCGTTCATTAAAACAACACGTTTCTGACAGTGTTAAAATAGTTGAACCCTGGCATAATTTGTTCAGCTGTTATAAAAAGATGAGTTCTGACACCAGAATAAAACTCACATACAATCAGAAAGTGACATTCGTCTTCAATACGGTTTAATTGCCTACCTTATGAATTTTACTCTTGTGATACCGACAGCTTTCATGTCATGGCATATTATATTATAGATCCCTCCTTTTCAAAACTATGAGAAATGCTAAAGACGTCGTTATTCCGCGGCATTGCCGCTAAATGACCCTATCAAGTCCGTATGGCATTCATGTAGACTATTAAATGCCATGTCAACACACTATTTATTCAGTTAAGACGTGCCCGTGGTACAAATCTTGGTTTGTTTGGTATAGACAGCTGATATAGAAGTATCTAGTGTGTTGTCAGACGTTGACAAACATTTCATCATCACCTAAATGTTATTCATGATACGTAAACACAAATATGTATGACATCCAGGTCATCGTTTCCGCCGATTGCATCAGCTTGTAATATAGGACTTGCTCGCCATATGTTACTGAGAATGCACAGTACCACCTCTTGTTATTTAATTTCATCTCGACTATGAACACTAAACAGCACAAAATATGCACAATTAAAGTGAATAGTCTCGAATAACAGCGTCTGTTTAATAATCAAATCAAGTTGTTTTCATCACAGTAAGTGACCTTATCGTTTCATGACGTCATTTTAGGGGGGCGGAGTTAACGAAAGTTTATTAACCGCAATTTAAAAGAATTGTTAGCTTTGAAAGATGTAAATGGTGATGTTCCATTTGTCAAATTTTCAAAAGAAAGATAGTTATTATTATGTGGAGGTAAAAATATCCCTGTATCTATATAAACTTAAATTGAACGATCTTTTGGACACGTTATATTTTGAAATTGCACACAAAAACTCTTTCGAAGTCACGCGTGCCATACGTCTGTTACCACGCCACTGTTACCACGCTGGCGTGGCGATCTATTTTTAAAGCTAACATCATCAGAACACTGTTTACAAACATATCGTAGATCACATGACTCACCAGGTGCTAAAAGCTGTATATATATTCAAGGGATTACAGCACTGACGCTACTCTTGATCGAGTGTTCACGCTGTGTATTACTCTAAAATCGTTACTTGTACGATCCGGCATAGATCGACCGTTTAACACATATCTTATCAGAAATATTTGATTTATAAATCAGCGGTCGACATGTCTGACTATTTTGTAGCTAACTATCTGGACGATATCGACATGTACAGCGTAGAACAACACAAGTACATCCATAATGGCCACAGTGGTAAGGGACGGAGTAAGAGGGAGGCCAGTCTTCACACCAACGTCCACGACCCCACCGGACATACCCGTAAAGCTGTCCAGAAACTGATCAACAACAAACTAAAGCAGAGGTCAAAGAACTGATACGTCGGGTTTTATAACTGTGAGTATACTATTTATATTGATCAATATTATTTGGACATAACTCGTTTTTGAAATATTCCTAATTTAATTTCTTCGTCATATTGTGGACGCTTGTGAGGATAATTGGTAATTGACATATATTTTACATTGCAATATCGAAGAAATGTTCTCATTGCAAAATTACCCAATTGTCAAAAGTTCCGTTTCGCTGAAGGACAGGTGAAGTCATTGTATTTGGTAAATTAAATGTCTTCACAATGTCTTAGATATTCTATATGAAAATGTTATTCCAGAGGTGGGGAGATGGATTCAACTAATATCTATTAGGATAATGGGAATTAGAAAACCCAGAGACGTATATACTACGTATGGCTGTATACGTCCCTGGATAACCTACATACTATTCCCTCTAATATGTAGGTATCTTGGATATTGCTGTTCATGGTGTACAAAACGAAATATGATAACGTTCAATTAAAAGACACGACCTTCCCCCAAGTCTAATATTTTATTTATGCAAATGGTTCAAATTCTGTCTTAAAAAATCCTATCGTTAGCTCAATGAAGTTTGAAACGAACGAGCCTATCTTTTTGGGGTTAGGGGAGCTTTGATTACACATCAGCGCAGAGTTGGGCATTTTTGTGTTTGAAACAACAACAGCTACGCCAGGAAATCGTTTAAATAGCAAGCTTCGAGTTTTCTCCCTTGCATTTTTCTCCATTCCGTTCTCAATGCATGCATACCTTATGAATGTCATAATCCAAATAAAACTCGGATATTTTACAGTGATCCAAATATAAGATATTTGACAGATTGTCTTTAAGTCTGTAGGTTCACACTTGCCTCTAGATCGGACGTACATTGTAGTAAGAATGCGCACTGTGATGCTAGTCTGTCTCAGTGTGAGGTTATATATTGAAATTATTTATCAGGCCGAGTGTATAGAGTACCGCCGTATTGCTACAAAACACTTAGACGCCTCACTTAACCCTATAACTATGGAGGAAGTCGCGCGATACAGTTCATATCCGACCACATGGTTGTCTGACCTTGGGTCTGTCACGTGGTCTAGTAAACCCATACAGTCTGGGCAATGAACTTCTATAAATCAACCGTGCAGGAAAGAAACCTTGGCCTGACCTCGAGTAAACAGTCGGCTCGTTGTGTACCAAATCTGCTATTTTGCTAATGAGTAAACAATAACAATCCTGAGTCTGCTTGTGGGTTTCTGATAAGTCAACAATAAAAACCTGAGTCTGTTTGTCGGTTTCTAATGAGTAAACAATAACAATCCTAGCAGAGTCTGCTTGTAGGTTTCATAAAAACAGTATTGTGCTCGATATGTCAGGTTTTGTTTACCCTGTCAATTTGTTGACAATTATGATGCGTAGGAATCTCCAATGTGTGTTTTATTAAATCAGGACTGTGCTTGCAATAATAATAAAAAAAAATATACATGACATGGTTTATTTGGACTCGCGTGATCAATTTCAGATTAGACAAAAACATACATTTATTCATGAGGTTCATTTCTAACTAACTTTACGTCCTTTCCTTACTATCACGTTTCTGCGCTACAGTCAGGGACCAAATATGTTTATTACTTTTACATCTTAAAAGGAATTTGTTTATGAATTTTCATCATTGTTTTAGAACTTACGATTTTTTTCTTCACAGCCGGATTTCCCCATTGAATGGATATTGACCGACAGAATGATGAAAGGACTACTGACCAATGGCGATACACTGACGGCAGAACGGACCAATCAAGACGACGGTGATATATCTTTATTCACCAGTAAAATCGTCTGATACTGGACAGAAAAAATGGAAAGGGACCAACGAGAAAGCAAATTGAATGTCATTTAGCAAATTGAAGGCAAACTAAAGTTTTGTGTTTGAATAAGATTAGTAAGCATGGCCATCTATGGCAAGGTATATAGAATGTGTTTTGTATTTTTTGTAACTTATTTTGTACGAAAAGTTTGTAATAAATACATAAGTTGTCACCATCTTTGTATGTCTCCTCATTTTAAGAGAACATATTAGAAGTGCCCTGGCGGTGGTAAAAACTGTACGACCATTCATAGAGGAAAAGACAGGGACCTGATAATTAAATACAGTTATGTTTGGACCTAAACTGATGTATTTACATTACTATTAGACATTCGAAACCCCCTCGTAAATGACGGTATATGGTATATACTAGAAGCTAGATCGTTTATACCGCCATGGCGGTCCAAGCATAGCCCTAACAAATGACTGTGTCCCTATGGGCGCGACAACTTGTTAAAAGAAGGCCGTTCATCCAACCCCGTCAAACCGTTTGCACATCCAGATTGTGACTGGTTGCTGAACTTGAAACTAGATCATGACTAGATGGTGTTTTGGGTACAGCTCCATGTCCATATCCCTTCGGTCAAGATTATGTCAAGGGTCAAACCACCAATAAACAACAAGATTATTTCACGAACTTTCCTCCTCGTTGGAGGTGATTTATCATGTCCAGATGGTGTGCCAAGTACCCACACGATCAAGGTCACGACCAATGGTAAGATCTTCTAAACGACTGAACATTTGTTATCCATGACGTCATGTAGAAGCATTGCAGATTCTAGAAAATGGAAGCTGTACAGAATATCATCCACAGTTGTAGTAACGACGACACGGAGAAAGGTAGGAGTTGTGGATGTCAGATTTTGTCGATGTGTTTGGCATGGATCAGTTTGCAAGTAAGACAACTAGAACCGAGCAGAAGTCAAAACAATCAGAAACACATCACGAAACGAACCCCTAAAAAACGAAGAGGCACCCCAGGCCTGTGTAGCGCACCGGTTTCTGTTGTCATCTCAGCTTACTTAATTGATACTGTGATGGCCGAATTGAAATATTACTTGTATTTCGTAAGGGCACTCAGACGACGCATGCTTAAAACTGATCTAGTGGAAGTTAAGACAGTCAGAGGATAGGCGGTCATCTTTGATTGTGAGTAGGTTAGAAAAAAAAACGTGGGCAGAGATTAGAGAGGAACATGCTTATAACGTTTGTTAAAAAGGCCGGAAAATGAGAAGAATTAGAATATCGTTCAGCCAATCACAGGCCAATACAGACATCTTCAATTTCAATATCACACTGAAGATTTGCGATTTGTTATAGATTGTCGTTTGCACGAGTTTTCTAGCCCTCGCTTATTACAACTAAAGATGACGTCGAAATTTGTTCCATTTCGCTTACTAAGCTCCTTCCCTTTGTTACCAAGGAGGATAACGTCCTTCATTTACACCGCAATGACAATCCCATTCATCATAACATGTCGGTCATATCCATCTACCCTACCTAAAGATCGCGCCTACTGCCCCAAGGGGGTCACGACCTTCATTTACACATTGTTGCATTGAATTCCCTACCCACGGCATGTATCATAGGAGGCGACTAATATTTTAACCCCCTGCAGAATTGGGGATTTACTTTGGTGTTTTCTATTTGGGGACACAAAAGCGACCAAAATTAATCTGCTGCACCAATTGCGATAGTTGGGATCTTTACCTTTCTTTCTACTTCTAACTACCTTTTATTTCATAGCGTCTTGCTTGGTAGTACCTCACTTTTGGCTATAATGTTGAGCGTTCGCCCAGGTGAGGAAGGCAATGGGTTCTGTCTCCAGGCCGGAACATACCAAAGTCCTTAAAAATGGTAGTTGTTATTCTCTGCTTAACGTTCAGCATTTAGGGTATGTCAACAACTTGTTCACCCGTTGTCAGTATAATATAACCGGGCTAAATTCTGTGCTAGGAGCCTTCGGCATGGTATTTCAGTGAGATAGCACTATAAAGTCGGCATCAGATCCGCGCTATCACAAGGAGGCAAGCACGCCAACATACCCTGTCTCCTGCATACACACACGCAAGCACGCATACACTACACACATGGAGGCACGTCCTTAAATGACCTTAGCTGTTAATAGGAGTTGCACAAACTTAAACTAAACTAAACCAAACCTTGGCCCGGTGATGTAGCATGCTAAATAAGGTTATTTTTTTTACCTGTACTTATGAGGAGTTGGCTTTAAATGAGCCACAATGTCGTCGTTTTGTAATACTCTGCTCCTCCCAGGACAGCATACCAAACATCTATATAACACTGGGTTCCAAGACAGGATCCATGCCAAATTAAGTCAAAATCCCTTCTAGACTAGCAGCCCTTTAAAGGAAACGGTTACACCGGGCGATTGCACAGGGACCTGAGAATTTCGACTTTCGGTAAAAATGCCACCCCCAATGATCAGTTATACGATCATTGGGGGTGGCATTTTTACCGAAAATCGATCTAAGCCCCCCAAACGTGTAAAATTATTCTTATCACATTAGTTTAGGTACCAATATAAATGTAATAAATTCTCAGGTCCCTGTGGGCGAATGGACAACGGACGCTGCCCCATTGCGATGCCTCGATTTGGCCACTTGGACCAGATACGCCCATAGCACATCTTCAGGCGATAATCTGGGGATGGCGGATACACAATTGATTAATTAATTGGGAGTCTGAAGTCAAAACCTTGACAGTTTAATTAGTTTTGCTTTATGTTAGCGTTCTCATCACAAAACTGTTTAATATTAGAACCGTTATCTAACGCAAGTAGAAATCATACTAGTCACTAGATCATATGAACGTAGTGGACTTAACACGAATGCAGTTTTTATTCATTGGTCATTGTGAATACAAACAGGTGCTGTTCATGGTCACTGTGAATGTAGTTTGTATTAATGGTGGTTGTGAATGCATATTCATCGTAGTTATGAAGCATGGGGTATTTACGGTTGCAGTTGGAATTCGTGGTCGCTGTGAATGCAGATAGTATTCGTGGTCTTCGGCGATTCCAGTTAATAATCACGGTCGTGGTAAATGCTGATGGTATTCATGGCTATGGTGGGCCTGCCGACTTTCATTATCATTATGTATGAATTATAATTATATGAAGTTGTTATCAAACCTTATAATCACATCAAAACACGAAATACAGGATTGCTTGTATGATTTTATGAAATAGATCGTCAAACAGTATTCTGCCTATTCAATAGAATGTATTTATAAATGCCATTACGGTTAGTGTTGCTAGCTCTACCAATATGAACATTACAGCTTCATCCCACACGGACCTGATAATTTGTTACAGCTATATTTGGACCTAAACTAAGGTGTTTAGAGTAATTTTACATGTTTGGGGTTTTTAGATGGATTATCATTGGGGGTTGCATTTTTACCGAAAATCGTTCTAAAAAAAACAACCGTGTGCTATTACTCTAAACACCTTAGTTTAGGTCCAAAATATAGCTGTAACAAATTATCAGGTCCCTGTGCTTCATCCCTACACATATACAATCCTCTAGTGGTACTTCTAATGTTGATGGTCACAAACTCCATCCACTGACAAGAAAATAGTGGACATGTATACCAAGTCTAATCAAAAGAACATTTTACAATAGAAAACGCATCCGGGAATCAGTAGTATAACAGCTGAATACAACTTCTGGTAAACAAGTGCACAAAGGCATACTCTTTATAATCATAATCTTACAACTCCAGTCTGACAACTTGTTTTTAAATTTTTTTATTTTTTTTTGGTTTGTAATATATTTTGTAAATGAGTAATGCATCCTTGAACTTGTTTGTGGTGAACAGCAGGACCTGATAAGGCGATGTCTGGGTGAGTCACTAGTACTTATAACAACCAACAGTACATAATCCAAAATAGATTTATTTATAACAATGTGTGAGCATGCACCATATGGACGTCCACGGCCTAGATACACACATAACTTGCACCAGACAAAATCAATTACATACATGTATGGCTAATAAAAATACCAATTTAAAACAAAAAAATGTCAAGCTGACAGAAATGACAAAATATTGTATCTGGTCCCCACTCTATTGTTGTGTATAAAAATATTTACACAATTTTAACATCACAGGGATTTATTATGTTGGTCCTTACCTCTTGGGAGAATAATCCCTTACACAGGGCCCAGTATACTAGGAACCTGTATATGATAAACTGATATCATTAACTTAATGACAGAGTAATTGTTTCATAAACATTGTGAGACATATATCTACAGGTAGCACTTGTGTGGTAGATTTTAATTGTGCATAGGATTGTGGTCACCTTCTAGCTTAGCATCACGCTATTTGTAATTCAGAGCTATCAGGTATTGCGGTTGCTGGCTTGATGATTGATTCCAGGTGGAAGCACACCACTCTCTTCAGACATGTGATTTAGATTTACCATAGTTCAAATTCAAACTTGAGTGGATATTAAATTGATACTACAGGTATGTGTAGAATGTTTCATAAAAATCTTCACATCCCTTCAAGAGTTATTGTGCAGAAACCATTTGTGTGGACGCGCCTGCTGGAGTGGTCCCTGTACAATGTATATATCAGCTCTGCTTTATTGCTAACACCAAAACTGTAAATAGTGACAATTTAACATACAATTATAGTCTTAAACTAACAAAACACAACATGTATCACACAAAATATTTAGGCTTCTCTGCTCGTTTTTTACAGTGTACCAGACATGTTTTCTTTATTATTCAAATACATTTCTAATGTATTGCAAGTGAATCTGATTTCTGCTGATTCATATTTCACACACTCACTTACCCTATTTCACAATGAGATGTTTTAAAACTTGTTTGCAATAATATTCATTACTAACCCTTTCACCACTGTAGACCACAATGGACTCGTCCAGATGAACGTATGTTAGAGTCTACTCAAGTTACTTAGGGGTGAAAGGGTTAAGCTGTCTGAAGGTCATTTAGTTTTTACCACAGATCAAGTTGACCAGATAGGTAAGATGTTACAGGTCTTTTTCATGTTTAATCTTGACGTTTGTAGACCTTGAATTTTGATATCTCTTGTGTATTTACAACATATTTAAATGAGTTGAATGTTTTCATTAACTTGACGTCCTGAAAATAATGAAGTCTTTAGGCTTAGAGTCCAATTGTGAAACTATGAAAATGGATTCATAACGTTGATTAAATTACAGAAATACATACACTGTACTACACCAGATGTCAGTTGAAATCCTTGCACTGCTAGTATTATGCAATTAATATCACATATAGTGTTTAATTATGCCATTTAATCAACTTCAATTCTATCATAACAGAGATGATATGAAAGACAAACACCTTACAGTACCATGTAATCAAAAATTAAACAAAAATGCTAATGACAATGATGTGTTCCGACATGCTGTTCATAATTACAATGGAACCGATTTGTTACTGTGGACATCTACAATGAAACCGGGCCCATATTCATGAAACCGTTCTCATGCTCAAGCATGGATTTTGTGCTCAAGTCTAATTTCTTGTTCAAGTTATAAATCATTAAAAAAACACTTATTTTGTTAAAGTTTTGTAAAAAAAATGAAACTTGAAGCCGAAAACCGGTTTTCAATATTTAAATGACTTTTTGATGGTTGACATGATTTAGGTGGGTTACAAGAAAGCTGGCTTGAGCACAGAATCCCTGCTTGAGCATGAGAACGGTTTCATGAATACGGGCCCTTACTAACATCTAAGATAACGGGCAATAACTGGTGATTTTGTTGTCCCAAATCTCACACTTTTACATATTTATTACCGACTTTGTATCATGTCGCCTTCAGTGTTAAAGTGAGAGCAGTTAAAATTTGTTCACATGATCATAAGCCTTACAGCATTTATAACAGACTTGGACTATAAGGGCCTACTGCTCACTACCCTCACATCAATCTGGGTAAAACCAGGTTACGCTGATTTTTATCATACATGGATCACACAAAAGATGACTTCACAATTACAACATAATTTGTTACCTTGCTTAATGCAAACATATTTAAATAAGTCATTTGTTTCTTCACCAAAATTCCTTTACCGATATATAGATACATATTATTAAAATGCCAAAACATTGCTGGGCAATTATTGTTTCTGTAATGTTACTGTACCCTGTTCCATGAAAACATGAAAAGTTTACATGAAAACTTACTGGAATGTGATTTTAGTTTTTCATGTTTAAATTTTCAACCCCACCAATAAGATAAGTGTATATTATGTATTTATGTAATGATTATATAGTTTTATCACACAAAATGTTCTTTGCAAACTATTTGCTCTTTACCAAGTTTCATAGTCTGCTAGTTTAATTTTGCATACCACAGTATATAAATACATTTGTGGATCCACTTCAACCATGGAAACACAAGTGTTTACAGTATGTAACCATGGAAACAGAGAGTATGTTTCCTGTCATACAGTACCTGTAGGTACAAAGATTACACAAGTGTTTACAGAATGTTACCATGGAAATAGAGCCAGTAAAAACACAGTAAATATTTCCTGTCATACAGTACCTGTAGGTACACAGATTACACAAGTGTTTACAGTATGTTACCATGGAAATAGAGCCAGTAAATACACAGTAAATATTTCCTGTCATACAGTACCTGTAGGTACACAGATTACACAAGTGTTTACAGAATGTTACCATGGAAACACAAACAGAGATAGTAAAAACACATTATTTTTTTCCTGTCATACAGTACTTGTACATATACACAGATTACACAAGTGTTAACAGAATGTTACCATGGAAACAGAGACAGTAAATACACAGTAAATATTTCCCGTCATACAGTACCTGTAGGTACAAACATTACACAAGTGTTTACAGAATGTTTCCATGGAAACAGAGACAGCAAATACACAGTAAATATTTCCTGTCATACAGTACCTGTAGGTACAAACATTACACAAGTGTTTACAGTATGTACACAGTAAATATTTCCTGTCACACAGTACCTGAACAGAAATTACACAAGTGTTTACAAAATGTAATGCAGAGCTCTAGATTAATCATGCAGATGTCAGACACAGGCAAATAGGTATTACTTGTGTTGAAATGATATATATGAGCTAGGTAATAATTTTCTTTTAAAGAATTAAATAAATTAAATAACAAAAATAAAGAAAAAGTCTATTTACAATAGAAAGTTCCCCAAAGCGGTTTTCAAAGCATCTGGAAACAATTTGTTTCTAACATTGAGGTATAAAAAATGTTACATTAATATACAGTTATTGCAGTGGAGCACGACTCTCATGATGGCAATGATCGCCTTGTTATACCATATATAGGTATACATCAGAAGTACCACAGAATGACTTTGTTAACGCCATACAAGTGAAATGTCTGCTGTATTCAACGGAAATTAACATTAAATGTTTGCTAAAGTCTTGCTCATATAAAAGTCACCAATAAGTTGTGTAAATACCTTAGTTTATGTATCAGATATACAAAAAACAACTACCTATTCCACCTTCACCTTTGAATGCAGTCAACAGAAAATACAATTCTGGTTGACCATCAATGCATATATCAGAGAAACTAACTTCAACGCAAAAACTTAATGTTGATGGAGATGCTGACTAAGTCGATGGATCATGAAAGGTAGGCTCCATCCAGTATTTGATGCATGGGTTGAGATGTACTACCTACGGTGCATCTATGGTCCAAGTTTGGTTGGTGTAGCACTTATACTTTCAGTGAAACTAACTTAAATGCAAAAACTTAATGTTGAGACGGCCTTTGCCAGAAAAGCAACACCTTAGTCTTGCTTCCACTTTGTGGCGATGAGACACAAACCATTGAAACTATCATATTATACATGCAACATATTTTAAAAACTCTCAGTAGTTACTGACAGAACCCTAATGTTGACATCCTTGTACTATAAAACAGAACACATCAATGAGCAGTAGTGTGTCTGTTGGTGCCTTATCATTATAATGCAAATACTAGATATTTAACAGATGTTTGTATACCCCTAACTATGTTCACATTTTGCCATAATTAAGATCAAGTGCACATGAAAAATTGGTAAATGGGGTGCTTAATAAGATAGCAATAACCCCCACCCCGTAAATATACATAACTGTCGGACACATTCCGAGGGAGAATGTATTTTTTTCTTCTCTTTATTGTTCTAAGCCACTCAAAATATTAAAATTGTGAGACTTAGGTGACTGATGTAAAGTGTATATATATAGTAATATACTCTGTTAACTAACTAGAGAGGTGTTGAAAAAGGGGGAGGGGCACTAATTATGGTGAATACAGTATATCAATATTATTGACTTGATAATGCTTAGATTGATGACACAAACACGTCAATCAATATGGAGGCACGGTAGTCTAGTGGTAGGAGGCCGGGCTTGTGACAGAAGGGTTGCAGGTTCGAGTCACGGCACGACACTGTGTTGTTTCTTTGAGCAAGATTCTTTACTCCGCTCGTTCCAGTCTACTCAGCTGTAAATGAGTACCCGGGTACATGGTTGGGCAGTGCTAGAATTGTTGAATGCAAGCTGTTAGCATCGAAATGGGAGCTCCGGCTGTATGCTCCCCAGGGAGTTGAGAAAGGTATTGGATGGTTGCAAAGGCCCTATAACCACGGATAATAATTTGTGAACCGCTTTGAGACGAGCTACAAACTAGGTTGTGATAAAGCAGTATATAAGAACCTCAAATTATTATTATCAATGTTCCAACCAATGAAAGAAGATCAAATGAGTCCCAATGCCTTATTTGTTTTAATTGTGGCATCATTTCTTTATGAGTGTAGCTACATACATATATAATGTTTGTGTGTGATTTTAACTACCAGGAATGATTGTACCTATTGCAATATTTATATTTACATAACTCACAAACACAAAATACTGAACGACAATGTCTTCAATAATTTGTTTGTCCTACGCAGTTATTAATCTATGAGTATTTTGACCGATAGCTCACCACGCTATTTAACAAATGCTTAGACTAGCTTTTATAGCAAATACCTGCTAATTATAAGTTATTTAGCAAAATTTCCATCCTGGTTTAGATAAATTATGTCAAAAGCAGCTAGAGGATATATGATAAAACATCCTATATAAAACATAATTGACTTGTGACTTATAAATGAATCCGGGATATTAATGTGACAGTTGGGTGGGGATGTATCTGAGATTGAGGTGGTTCCATATTAAAGAATACAAATTTATTAAAGGAAACAGACTAAAAGTGATTCCCTGAAAACTATGCAACTATCCTTACATTGATAAATATATAAATCTGAAAACCAGAACATTGAAAACAATTATCACAATTTTCTATACTTTTCATACCCCTAACCTCCCTTATAAAAAATGGACAAGTTTAACTTAGTTATCAACCTTTTTTTTCCAAATTTAGATCTTACTTATCACAATACAACCATAAAAGTGTATATTACAATACACATATACACTACACTAATAATGTAACTTGGTCAAGACCATCTTTATATGTATCTTTATAATTATATATCTTTATTTTTCCAGTACTGTATCTACTCCAGTAGACAATTACAGGCCTGGTAAATAACAGGTGCTATCTCTACAGTAATAAATCACAAGTTAAAAGTATGATACCTGCTTAATTACATTTCGTTATACCCGATTTCACAAATGTTTTCATGGTCTTACTTACAATGAGTGATTCTTTACCCTTTATTTACTGTTTGTCATACTTGGCCTGGTAACAGCTTGTCAGTGTCTTACTTGTTAATTTAACTTCTCATTTCCTTATTAATTAAGTTCAAGTCATAAGTATTTACCCAGTAAATCACAGTAATAATGCTTTACTTTGTAAATTACAATTTGTCACATGCATTTTACCTGGTAATTTACATTTACCATACTTTCGACCATATGTAACTTTATAATTAGTAGACTCTACCATGCAATGATGTGGATGAGCCCATTATGGTCTACAGCGGTGAAAGGGTTAATCTGATAAATTAGTTACCATATTGTACTAGATAACTTACAGTCAACATTTTTTATCTGATAAACTGCAGTTACTACACTTTACCTGGTAAATTGCAGTTACCATGCATTATCTAATAAACTGCAGTTACTACACTTTACCTGGTAAATTGCAGTTACCACACTATACCTGGTCAATAACTTACTTCACCCCTGTTTTGATATATTACAGATCACCAGTTTCTGGACTAGTCGCATGAGCTGGATCTACATACTTTTCATCAATCTTATCTAGATTGTCATGCCAATGATTGTAAGCTAACAGGGCAATGTTACGTCCTGCTATAGCTTCCATTTCCATGGCTGAAGCTGCTAATTCTATTGCATTGACATAGTACAATCGCTCGTTCAAAAGGAAGGGAGGTAGATCGTCAATTTTCTTAAAATTGTATTCTGGATATGCCATCCACGATACTGTATGAACCTCTTCTATGGATTCAAAATATAGTTTGACCTCTTCCTGTGTCAGTTCTCTGTTTGAGAAAAGTTTACCTACAATGTTGCTGTCTATGGGTGGAACTGTATCTGATGCACTATTGTAGTCTACAGGAAGATGTTGACCAAATGAATTCAGTAATAAATCCATATTGCATGTAAACACTTCATTTGGCATGTCGGCGGGCTGTTCCACGCCAAAATACGAGCTGTTCACTCTACCGTGCACAAACGTTGCCACCGTCTTGTGATATTTCTGGGGAAAGTTGTGAATATCTTGTTGAAAACCCTCAAACTTAATGTCTGAAATTTCATCGTGAAGAGGAGTTGCTATGACAACCATGTCATATCGTTTGCTCTTGGCTTCATTGTTGTTGTCTTTCCTGTAGTAAACTTCATACAGAAATGGTTCATCTTCCAGAAACTCTACCATTTTTACCTCTGCAGCAATAACATTAATTTTTGAATGTTTCACAATATTTTCTGGAACCATCTTATTGCCTCCTTTGACTGCCCAAAGACCAGAATCCACTCCAGCCATAGAAATCGCTCCTGTCAAACAGGTAGACAGGTAACATCAAGCATAAGATACAGAAAAATGTTAAGAAGTTAGCCATATTTCACTCAATTAAAGGAAATCTGTTCATAAGACTTCAAACAAAATCAATGTTATTTCAAAAATGCATTGCTTTAATTAGATTCTTTACTTGAACATCTTAAAAAACTTTCTTTTTTTTTGGAAAATATTTGGATGGCCAAATATAGGCTCATGATAGTTGTCAAATCTATCTGGCCCAGTGGGCCATTTTATTAATAACCTTAAGTCTTCTACTGTTTAATCCTTCCATGAATTTCCTAAAAAAAAGTTAGCATATTTCCTAATTTTTGGGTTAAATACATGTACATGTACTGCTAGTCATGAATAAAAAAATGTTAAGCATGTTTCAGTGTATCTGATTAATATCAGTGATTTCAGTGTTAAAGTGATAAACATTTTTATAGATATTGCTAAGGTTCCAAAAGCATTGTGACTGTTGTTCCTTTTTAACAAGAAATGTACATTCTGCAAAGATTTAGATTAACTAAATCCTTAATTGCTTAATAACATACAAACATGCCCTTACCCACAAAACCTGGTATTTCTACCCCTTGTCCATAGTTTGTCCGCATGGCCCCCAACACAAGCTCATAGATCAGGGCGTCATGAAATCCTTCCTCACGCATAACCTTTATCACAGATTTTTTTAAGTAGTTAGCAAAGGATGGATCCATTGAAGCTAATAGTTCTGGAACATTTGTATACGCATAGCCAGCATCCTGTGTTGTGTAGATCCTGGAGTGTAAAAAGGGGAAGTAATCAGTTTATATGGTGTAGACATTGTGTACAAAAAGATTATAATATTACCTTTGTTAATTTACCATGTTTTATATATTTTGAACAAAAGGCCCTGTTGAAATGAGTGCAGTGTGTTGATAGTTACAGTATAATATACAGCTCTGTATGTGTATTACAGTAGAAATATACAGTGAATAATAAGTCTACCAAATATGCCAGAGTTAAAAATAAAAATCCAACAATTTCAAATTGGAGTTTACAAGAAGCTAATTTAACATTAATCTGAAAATAAAGTTACAAGACTTTAAATTGATGAGCTTTAAAGATGCAAGGGGCAATAACTCTACCGAGGACAATCCGAATAATACACAGGCAAACAATTACCAGCATTGTTAGCTAAGAAGTATTGTGTAAAATAAAACTTCATAAGGTTACAGTGCAAAGCACCAATAAATACATATGCTTTATTTTATGTTAAAGAAGGGACTTGCCCAAAAATATTTTAGCACTGAGCGCACAGCTATGAGCCCTGGGTTCGCATCTTATTGATCAAAGAGATGTTAAACATACTTAGTATCATGACTTCTCTATAATGATCTCCATGGGTCTGTGGCTCAACTTTGTTAAGTCTTCACTGAAACCTCCTTTGCACTTAAACAATACTGGTAATTATTGAAATTTAGTGTGGTTAGTCGGATACGATAAGGTCCAGTTACCTGTATACTGGTCACTGCCAGCACAGACATACAGATACATGACCAAGTGCTTGACAGTGACATTCAGAACAGAATAGAATTCATTGAGTGCAAGGAACACAGCAGCACCCGGGATATTTGGCATAGGGAATACCCTGTAAAGTACCACCATGATAAACAAGATTCCCACAGGAGTGGATGTGTCCCCTGCTCAGTGCTTTTAGTAAGAAATGTGTTTTGGCTGGAGTTATCGCATAAACAGATATGCCAAAATGTAGCAAGTTGAAACTCGACAGAAAAACCTGTAATATATGTTGAACATTGTTGCTTCTAGCATTACCGTACAACATTTGAAAGGAATTGATTAAAAAATAAAAAAGTTCTTGCATTTACTACACAATACCTATATTTGGCAATAAAAGGGGCATAACTCCACTAAAAATGCATGCAAACTTCTGAAATGCAAAATTGTAAAAGCAATATTGGTATGCAATGTGTACCAAGTTTGAGTTCAATCAACCCAAGGGAACTCAAGTTATCACATGGAAACCTTGTTTCGAACAACACAACCGACGCCGACGATGCCGACAAAGTAATACCTATATGTCGCCTTGCATTGCAGGCGACACAAAAAGGTTTGTACACACTAATCAGCCAGTGTTACACCAGAAAAAACACCTATAAATGTTGCATGAAGCACAATATTGAATAGTTGGTTACAGTGTCTTTGAGAAACTATCATTTTTAAGGGAAAACAGTATTTTAGATATTCATCAAGGTGCTTTTTTTTATTACATGTATATATGTAAATCAAAGATATTCATTTTGACAAAGATTTAAACCTTCACAGGGATGACAGATATAACCCTGTAATTTTGTTCTTATTGACATTTGGTTACCTTGAAAACTCATAACAAATCGTGTCAGTTTTTTCATCACATTCCAGATGAAAATGTCAGTTATTTAAACATACCATCGCCTCATTATATAATATATATAAATATCTGAGACAATGCTTATTTTTTTTTAAACTTTATAGAGAAATGAATTCAAGGCAATCACTTCCGGGTTTTTTAAACAATAGTACTGTACCTTTTGAATTTGACCAGAATGTTGCTGACCCACGTTTGAAGGTTGTAGATGTCCATACCATAATGCCAGAACATTTTGGCCAGGGTGACCACACTGTAAGGACTAGTCGTTAGTCTCAATTCCTCACCATCAAATATGCCCATGATTGCACCAGAATTTTTTTCTCGTTTCTCCAAACCTACAACAATAGAAACATATCATCTACTCTTCCCTTCCTTCCCTTTTTGAGTAATTGGATTTGTAACTGCAGTTACAGTGCATGTGGCTCATTGACTTGTATATTCAGATCATTTGTTGTTGAGAAAATGCAAAAATCTGACTATACAACTTTGTAATAGCTTACATACATTACTTAACACGTATGTATCTTGTCCTTTGTTATAACTTTCCATTTAAATGACATTTGTGGCACCGGTCTGGAAAAAGGACCTCTCGGTATAATAATAAAAAAAAACAGGCCCAGAGGGCCTGTATTGCTCACCTATTTCTTTTGTTACATGAAACTGACATATAGGTAACTTCAGACCAAAGGACTATGTATGGTTTGGGCTGTTTTGGCCCCCAAATGCATCAAAATTCAAAACCTTTAAATGAACTTTGAAATGACTGTTTCTTGAATTTTGAATACTTTCCAAATACTTTTATGAAAATATTTATTTATATTTCTAATTATTGTTGCCATGGTAACAAGTTCAAAATTGCATAAATTAGAAAAATTTGAATATTCAGTGAATATCGTGATATTTTGCATAGTTTTTCTCCTAGAAACTATAGAGCGCATGCTTGAACAAACTTAATATCAAAGGATAATGTGTAGGCACCTGAAATACATCTTTAGGAGAAATATAAAGTTTGTTCAAGAGTGCGCTCTATGGTAGCTAAGAGAAAAACTAGGTGAAAACCTGTCATAATTGACTGAAAATATGACCTGGTTACCATAGCAGCCAAAATTGAAAACACAAATAAATGTTTACATAATAGTACTTGGGAAGTATTCAAAATTAAAGAAACAGTCGTTTGAAAGTTATATTGCAGATTTTTAATTTTGATGGATTTGGGGGCCAAAAAAGGCCCAAACCATACATAGTCCTTTGGTAACTAGAACACAAGGCATTTTTACATCTCTTAAACTGTTCTTCAGATTTTGTTGTTCGTTGACCTTTAACTCCTGTGACCTTGAAACTAGGTCAAGGTAATTTTCATGAGGAAACTTTATAGCACTCATCCCATCTACCTACTGGTCGAATGTGATGACCCTAGGTCCTTCAGTTCTTCTAAAGAAGTCGTTCAAAAAGAAAAAGTTGATGGACGGACAACGCAGTACAACTTAAGTTCACCTGGCCCTTTGGGCCCTTTGGGCCAGGTGAGCTAAAAATGAGTTAGGAATTATAAAATGTGCACCTTGTACAGCCTAATTTAATTAACTAAATCATCTGTGTAACCTTGCTTATCATAAGTAATGGACACTGAAGTAGACACGAAAAATACTTTCACTACATTTTACTTGGTAGAATAGATACAATCACATATCTTTATATATTATGGGGGGAAATGTAACTTGGGGTTACATGTGTGACAAATAAACAAGTCAGGCTGCAAGCAGCCTTTGTTAATAATTTTTTCCAACATCTTCTCACCGTTGTTATATTTTCCATCATGCACACATGTTGATACAGAAGGTAATGGATATCATCTAGGATAAAAAGAAAATTTAAAAGGTCTTGAAGATTCTATATGCGTTACCTAGTATTTTTGTAAAATTGACCATGTACAGATTTTCTGGATGTATGATAGATCCTCCCGACTCATATTCTCTGCTGTTGATGTTTACAGTTGCCAGGCGACCACCAATGGTGTTCTTTTCATATAGGTCTATCACAGCATCACTCCCAAAGAGCTCTCTCATGAAGTAGGCTGCAGATGTTCCTCCTATCCCACCTCCAACAATCGCTAAAAAAATGAAAAAAAGAATGAATAACATGTGTTTGATTACGTAACATCCAGCAACATCTAAGGTCACCTAAAAATGGTATGAATTAAGGTTTTAACATACTGGTATTCAAACCTTTTAACCTTTAAAGCTGGTCAAGGTCATTTAATTGAACAAACATGATAGCCCACAAGCACAATGTAATAGAACCTCAATATGATGATCTATAGTTTGTTTTTTAATGTTTTACTACAATTGACACTTGTTACCTTTTAACTGTGGAAAGTCATTAATTTTTATACACTTGATAGCCCCTCTTCCAAGCATGGAACTTTTAAAAATGTCTAGATCTTATGGTTCTAAGTATTGACACATAAAAAACTCTGGCACAGCATGCTATAGGTCAAATACCAGACTCTTAATTAGTATATCAGTTCTTCTTCAGGAGTGTTTTTCACTTTTCAAGCAATTTGACCTATGTGATATGGAAAACAGGACAAAGTAATATATTGAACAAATTGTTTTAAAGCCCTTCATTTTAATATCCCCTTATCCCAGCATACTACTTGCAAATTATCAGCACTTTAGACCTATTGGTTATTAAGAAGTTGTTTGAAGTATTTAGATGGAGACGGATAGATGCTGCAACATGGCATAAACTCACTTGCAATTGGTACATAGAGTTAAAATATCTGTTCAATCCCTGGGTTTCTAGGATGGAAGTTTGATGGAAATTAATACCTAACTTCTTCCGTGTTTTTTTTGGGGGAGGGGTCCAGTTTCGAAAAATTGGCTGACAAGGGGATTATGTATACCAACTTTTCACATTATCCCTTTTGTAGTTTCTCAGAAAACTGACACCAATTGACAGACTTCCTGATCACTGAATAAATAGCAATATGAACAGTCAACCGTCTAGTACAGTATTGAAGTGGATTTTGAAAGAATCACTGCAAGACAAAAATTATAAACACCCAAGTAAAATTTGGAGAGTTTTGGCTATTTCTGAATGCAGTTTGGTATTCCACTACATTGACTTCCACAAAACTATTGGCCCAAGGCCCATAATCACTTGATTATAGGGCAGCTATGGCTATAAGGGAAAATGTGGCAAAGTCGGAAAGAAGTAAACCTATGTGGTCAAAGTCCTATCTGTTTGGGGCTGTAATCTTATCTCGGGTGTAATGTACGACCAGGCTTTGACATAGAGTTGATAACACTACAGCACTGCCTGGGGCACATCCAGAGCTGAGATACAGTACTTATCACTCATGTACATATAGGAAGCTAGCTAGGCATGCATGATCATCTGCTGGAATTTAACGACCCTAGGCCATCAGTTCGATTTCAAACAGGCTGTGTGGAAAGGTTTTACACAACTTCCCATTGAAAAAAAACCCAGAGAAATCTTCTCGTCTAAAATCATATTTGTTTTAAGTTTTTCATTAATTCTATTTCTTTTTTCATAATATCAATGATTTTTTTTCTTTCAAATATTTAAAAAAAAAAGATGACAGTATTCTTACAGAATCTGAATACTAGGTTTACTGTAAGACAATACCACTCCCCCCTCACTGCATCAGCACATCATTAAGTCATTTTTTGTACCTACATCCCTCCACAAGTCAATTTTCAAAACAGGAAAATTGATCAAAAAGTGGGGCAAAAATGTGGTTGAAACATTTTTTATTTCAATTTTCAATAAAAAAAATTACAATTCATCATCTTTTGAAACAAATGAATAAAAACAATTTTCTTTTATTTACAAATAATGAGGCTGAATACATTAAACATATTTCTTCAAAAGCAAATGCAGTAAAATTCTTTTTTAACTTCATTGTCACTAAGAATCCATTATTGTTTTTTATCAGTGCGACCTTTCAACTAAGGATTAATTACAATTTGCCAGGTATACAAAGTTTGGAGCATAATCCAGATCAAATGCAGGACCACAGACACCAGTCTTAATGGGAAAGAAAGTTTGGAATTAACCACTGACCCCCAGCTTCCCAGTCTGGTGCTCTACCAATAGAGCTAAAGGGAAACTCCATCTAGCATGAAGCTTGAAGGCAACCATTGTATATCATATATAAAACCTGACACCTGCCTGCATGTAATGTATTGTAATCGCCTTAGAGTGGCTGTTGGGTGCTAGCCTGATGGGGAGACTGTAGCAAGATGTGTAGCTATTAATATTATTGATATAATTGACAAAGCTGAGTGATATCAAATTCATGTAGTGATACATGTACGTGTCTTTGAATATCACTTCATTGTAATTTACAAGTATTTCTTTTCCCACAAATATCTGGAAATTATGAAAATAAATTTCATTTAAAAAATCCCATTTGTATGAATCCTTTATGTTTCAGTAACCTATGTTAATTTAACAATTTGATTCGCTATTCCCAAAATTAATCATACTTTTAAATAGTCAATCTCTATAACCTGTCCATCCTAACCACTGTGTTAAATATATATATTTTCATGTATCACATGCTGTAACCGGAATGGGAGAAGACTTGTATAGGTGATACCTGTTGTCTAATCCTTTGTTTTGGAAACATTAAAATATCTTGAATTAAATTTACATTTTGTTCCATATAAATATGTTTTTGTATTTTTCAGTCTCTGTTTTGTAAAGATGAAAATGTTTTGGAATTTAAAATATATAATCGGCAACAAACAGGACACAAAAATTTACAATGTCTGAGTGACGAAAAATCCTTTTAAAACATTGAGACCCTTTGAACTCTGGACGGACGCTTTCCCACTTGAATTACCTGGTTACCAGCAAACAACCCAATCCAGGTCTGCTACACCAGAAGGTCTATACCAGTACTAGTGTCGATACAGTTGTAGCGGAACTGGACTGGGTCGATTGTTGGCGATAGTGTTGGGTAATCGGTTGAAAATGCCAATCGATTATCGGTTGGAATCGGATGACCGTCGTAACCGATTTTCCGATTATGATAATAATAATAAAAAAAAACAGGAAGAAATAAAATAGAACACTACATGACTAGAAGTTTCATTCCTTCTTTATTATTGTGAATGTTATTTACTTATTTCTCAGTTTATTAACTGAGAAACATCATTCATTCGTTTGAATGTTGATTACAATATCAGTGTTTGCCAAACTTTTAAAATTATTGCAGGATATTCAGGCAGGTAAATAAACCTTTTTACCGGACAAAACAAAATAGGTCAGAAAAATTACATATAAAAAGAATTTCTGCAGAAACAACAATTTTAGTTAATTTGTTTACATTTTGTTAATAATTCATCCATTCAGTCTCTTATAAACGATAACAGATTTATCCCAGCATACTGTCTCAGACATCATTCCTTCCTAGTTCCTTTTCAGAAAATATTTAAAGAGTTATTTTTTTCAGTAACTGCAACACTATGATAGGGAATTTTTATTTTTAAATTGCAGTGATAGGTATTTCATTTATAAATTTTGTGTGAGTTTATTGTTTAGTTTTTAATTCCTGAAATCCTGGTCCAGATCTGTCCACTTATTAGGCACGCCATTGCAACTTCCTCTTTGATAAACTGAGACGTTTTTTCAGGAAAAAATTATGTCATTCAGTTGTAACTAGTACATGAAGTTATCTAAAAAGTAAGTATAAACTTTATTTGTCCCTTAGGCCTATTTTAGCCAGAATTTAGTTCTTTTTCACCTGCCTCAAATTCTCAAAGATCGCAAGTATTCTACTGGCAATTTTTTTCCTCAAAACAAAAAAAATAAAGTTTGTTTTCAACCAAAATGTTGCTCCTTCCAAGCTCTAAAACTGGATTTCCTCGGCGTTGAGCATGTGGATTTTAATTTTTACAACTCTGGAATGACAAATTGCTAATAACAGTAACACATTATAGGACATTTTGCCAGATTTAGCTGAAAATATTACCGGACATTCGAGCAGGTATTTGAAACATTTTGCCGGTTCAAGGTGATTTTTTTTTACATGTCCCGCTGTCTGAAGAGTTTGTCACACATGTACACTGATTCAATATTGTTTTTATCTCAAAATATTTCAATGTTTTAAAGAAGTACTTCAAAACTTTTTATAGTGAACACAACCTATTGGTTACAGATAGATGTAGCTTCCATTGCTGATTGCGTTAGTTTTGGTAACTGTTGGGCGCGTTCGAACAGGATCTACCGATAATCAATTAAACATGACCATTGTCACCCTGGTAAAATACTAGCCGCTTCCTACCGTCTCGGCTAGGGAGAATTTCTCTTTAGCTCATTCGGGAGAGCGTAAGACTAGTAAGCCAGAGGTCCCGGGTTCGACTCCTAGCGGAGGCATTGACAAAATAATGACCTCTGTTACATTGGCGCCCACGTAGGGACCCGGGTAATATTGACAAAAATACTCGACGATACTTGCAAAGGAATCTCTATGACCCCTGGAAAACTCGGGGCGAGTTCTTTCTTAAATGGGGAGTATGTCACCCTGGTAAAATACTAGCCGCTTCCTACCGTCTCGGCTAGGGAGAATTTCTCTTTAGCTCATTTGGTAGAGCGTAAGACTAGTAAGCCAGAGGTCCCGGGTTCGACTCCTAGCGGAGGCATTGAAAAAATAATGACCTCTGTTACACCATGATCGCTCATCGGAATCGGTAGGCTCCTATCAAGCATTAATTGATTATTCCCGATCATCAGCACAACACTATTTGGCTACCAAATAGCTCAATTGGTAGAGCGTCCGTCTAGAGTTCAGAGGTTCCCGGTTATAACCCCTGTCTGGTCGTTGCATTTCTCTTTCTCCTGTTACACAGATTTGTACTGAAACGACACATCTGTAATCCCATCTGCACCCTTAAATTTTGTTTATATGCCATGCAATGTACACTACAGTAGATCTTTCTACGTGCATTGTATGTGTGCCCGCTACTAAGTCTTCATGATCATGACCTGTGCATTAATACAGTATAACACAGTTTCAATCAATCAATGAGGTGGGTTTGCAAGAATCGAATCTCTAGTGTGGCTGCCTGTATAAGTCAAACGATATTATAATGGACATGAAACATGCTACATAAAGGAAGATATACAGGCTTAGTATAGCAAGCGACATGTATGTCCTTGTGTGTGACAGCATCATATATAAGGTACTGTAGGTCTACAGTAACGTTACTGACAGCATATGCCAGTAACTTGGGATTTGCAGTGTTACAGGATAAACATAATAATAATAAAATGCAATTGTATGGAGGTGTATGAGAATCAATGGTTATACCAATATGCGGAGGTCTTGTTTCTTCTTCTGCTTCGACATTTGCTCCAATAAGGACACAAAATATGATGCAGGCTGTCGTGAAAGTCGTGGAGGCCGCCATCTTCGCTGATTTTCCTGCGTTAGTTTCGTACTTGGGTTCACAAATTAATAAACATATCAATAATCAGTTTATATCTGAATTCTTATTCAATAATTGTATATCAGGTGACTATTAACGTATTAAAATGACAAAAATTCGAATGAATATTGAGCAAAAATATTAAATTCTAAAATAAAATGACAGCTTTGTTTACATTTGCCGGTGTAAACAAAAAATATGGCGTCCACGTGTTTCCGTTTTATGTGCTGTCATTTGAGAAAGTTGACTCCGACGAGGCTTACTATCAATGCAATCAGCAAAGGAAGTAGGCCAGCACCGAAACTCATTCTTTTGTCGACATTTGTAGCACTCTGTGATGATAACGCAAAACAGAAATCGTCGAATATAGAGGACAAACACAAGGTTAATTTTGTCCTGATATCAAATTCTGATGCAATTACTTCATCAGTTCATCGTAATAATAGTAGGAAGGTTATGTATCCAAACCAGCAAGTGCTTATGTATAAATGGACAATTGGAGACTGACTGGCTAATGAAATTTCACCCTGACGAATGCAGCATACTCAACATTACATCGAAACGCAACAAAATATGACTACAAACTCCACAACCACACATTACACCAAGTAGAATCCAGTAAATACCTAGGATTACATTACAAAATAACTTCAGATGGAACAAACACATAAACAACATTACAGCCAATGCCAATAGGTCCTCCAGGTTAAACTAGCGATAAATACATAAACCACCCCCTCCCATCCTAACACCTATATTCCCTGCTTACTTCTAAAACTATGCCGTGGCACTCTCCGAAAATCAATCCGTCTGACTGCCCTGATCTATAAAGAAACATTGTATTTATAACCCCGATACTCAAAACCCAAGTTGTTTTTCCCGTTCGAGCACGCTCGGAGGTAAAGATCTGTGCAGCCTACTTTCGATTTTGCTGACAAAAAATGTCAAATATATCGCAATAGAGTGTGTCATCTTCCAGGTCACAGTGCACCGCCCTGATAGCAGAAAACATCCCTGGTATGTTGACCCCAACTCTAAACCAGATTTTGGACACTATCGTTTACATTTAAACATATTTTGTAGCGACCCGAGCGGTTGGGTTGAGACCCATTTCTATTACAAATGCGTACAAAGCACTAGTCAGACCAAGACTTGAATACTGCTCTTCCATTTGGGACCCACTCAACACAAAGCAAAAATAGCTGCTCAGTAACAGACATGATCCACAAACTACAACTACAATGGCCAACACTACAAACATGACACTTTCACACAAGAATAATCCTTTTTTATTAAATAGTTCACCAACTCATAGCAATAAATATACCCTATCACCTTCATCAGACAAATGACCAGTGAATCGTATGTACCCAAATGTTTAAAATATATACCAGTTTTTTAATTGGCATTATATAATCAAAGTCGATTCCAATACACTATAAGCTATGTACACTTAGTTATTATACATGTACGATACGACACTAAAGAAGAACTGACAATTTGATTCCGATATGTTTTGTTTAATACCTGGTCATAGATGTGCGAAAGTCTATGAGCCCCCTCATCTCGGTTCAGAACTGGCCCATTTTGGCTTGAACAGATGGTTTCCTTTATCTGCTGCTTGAACAGGTTGCTCTCTCAGTCCAATTCTTTGGAGTTATCCCAGTCAATAACTGGTATTAAACAAAGCGTATCCGAACAAATTGTCAGTATGGTTTGCCATTTTGTACAAGTATAACAACTAAGTGTAAATATGCTTATAACGTATCTGAGTCAACTTTGATTACATATATTGCCAGCTGGTACACATTTTACACCTTTGGATACATGCGCTTCACTGATCATTTGTCTGATGAATGTGACAGAGTACGTATCGTACTAGACTGAAAAGTCACACATAAACATTTACTGGTTTTGATAATAACCTTTCTACTGTAATTACTTACCAACCTGCAGAAAATGTTTAGAAATATTTCAAAGGAAGTTAGAAATAAATATCCTGGTATATGCCCTAGCAGATTCTAATGGAGTGGGGAGGGAGAGGTATTAGTTCTACCCATATATTATATCTGCCTCAAAAGAAAAGGGAGGTATACCTATACACATCAGTAAATTATGTGTTTAGTATATTACACACATCAGTAAACTATGTGTATAGTATATTACCCCTTTTTAAAAGGCTTTTATTCAAGGCAGATTAAAATGGTGTTACTTTGGCATGTTGGTTTCGATGCTAGGCTTTATGAGGCAACCTTTCAACACAGGCTTAACATAACATCATCGGCCAAATTGCAGTCATATGAATCCCTAGTACAACCATCACTAGGGTACATGCCTGCACAGTATAGGGCCCTCACATCTAAACAAATAGTGATGAGATGGAAATGGTGTAGTGCAGGGCTGCACACTGAGTCATGATCAGGATACCTCAAGCTTTTCCAAAATATTGGACCACTTATAACTGTGCCCCCAAGCAGATAGATGTAGATAAGCTCATCTGGCCATATGTTTTGTGTAAATGTTAAAGTTGCTGTTTTAAAATCTGTATCCCCTTGTCAGAAAGTTCAGGCATTGAAACCAGCTCCCTTTCGGAATTCCTCAATCTTTCCAAAAGTAACATTTCCCCATGAACTGTACATGAGTTGAGGGTAAATATAAGCTCCCACCTAATATTGTGTCTAGACTTACAACATACTCATTCAAATCATGCCTCTACCATTACTTTGCAAACACAAACTAAATTCTATCTGCTGCAAAATGTGTTTTTAATCTTTCATCTTTCCATATAAATCCTCCACTGAAATAATCTCCTATTGTGGAAGTTGGTAAATATCCCGCAGAAGTGGGAGTGTCAGGTTGATACGCAACAATCCTGTTTGCAACAGTGGTTTAATTTTGTGTTATCCCCATAACATTTTTTAAAGACAAAATATATTCTTGCCTGTTAATTAGTGTATGACTTATACATTCACATTAAAAATCTTGCTGATAATGTGCTTGTTCAAGAAGAGAACAGAAATAAAAAGAAAATAACTTAAACGTGCTAGCAATGAATGCTAAGACTGCTCCGGAATCTCTTTTGCTTTTTGGGTCTCATATAAAGGCAAGTGTCTGTGGAAGGACAGCTATAAAATGTGTTAAGAAATCACCTAGGCCGACTTTTATTGTCAAAAGAATCAAAAGTGTAAGTCATTCAAACATGTTGCAAATTTTTGATTTTGAGGATTCTTGAAAAATCTTTTTATTTCTCTGTTCTCTTGAACAAGCTCACATACAGGCACCAAGGGGATCATGCAAACAAAATCATGCGCACAATACAATGCTTTTCTGATCTATCGTGAACAATTCACTCTGATAAGAATGTGTGCAGTGAAACTGAGTTGAATGTTTAGTTTATGTATGTTTCCAGATGATAAAGCAATCTCTACCCAGAGTTGTCGTCCCTTGCACTCACCAACCGAGTGTGAGTGTACAACAACTTGGTAACATGAGTGTAATTGGAACGACAGATCGCTAGAGACTGACGATACAGCTGCTGGGTCTTTTCTGAGATAAATGATCTGAGTTGTAATTGTAGGATCCTGACCATAGCACACTGACAACAGAATATCTCCTGAGGAATGCTAGCTTGTCATCACTCGACTCAGCCCTCCGACTTCTGTCTGTGACTACAGTGGCTTTGTCAGACGTAGAAAAAGAATATGCAAGGGTAAGTGACAAAAGCAGACTACTTTTTTTAAATTGCTTTTCATGAGTTGCGTGCAGGTTTCAGAAAAGAATGAGCTTGATACCGACTACATGTGTAATAGGACCAGGAATAGTGATAAAGAAAGTGTCGTAGCTGGGGCTCGAACCCGCGTCCCTTGGCTCTCCAGCCCGATGCTCTACCGCTGAGCTAAAAGGAAATTCCTTACAGCTGACGCTTGTAAGGCAACCTAATTAATCCACATCTTTTACACTATTCCACCCTTTTTTCAAACACCAACCAAGGTTCTTTGACTCCCCGCCAAGGGTTATCCTACCTTGAACGGGGAGGGTCAACAGCACCAATTTGTAATAGGGCGAGGAATAGTGAGAAAGAAAGTGCCAACGCTGGGGCTCGAACCCGCGTCCCTCGGCTCTCCAGCCCCATGCTCTACCGCTGAGCTAAAGGGAAATTCCCTTTGTAAGGCAACCTAATTAACCCACATATTTTACACATGAGTGTTAAAAGTGGTGATGTGTTTGGATTCCTCTTCTGTAGAACAGATGAAGCTAAATCTGTTGACTCCATTGAAACATTTGTGACAACGATCTTTTCCTTTTTTTCTGTTCAACTCTTTTTTTTATGGTTGCTTCCTATCTAGCTTATAGTCAGGATAATGTGATCTGTTGGCTGCCGTGGCTTTCTGTTGACTAATGACTGTTATCATTTTCAGAAGTCAAAAAAGTTTCTGTCTTATTTGGAGAGTCAAGACACATGTGAAATAGACATGTTCCTTCAAATGCAAGAGTCAAAGCTTATTTTAGGGAGTCTAAAAGATGCTCCTCAGGGTCTGTTGAAGTCAGGTACCGTAGTCGGGATGTTAGTCATATTACATTGTTACACCTCAAGTGAATTTCTAGCTATTTGATTGGGAGAAAGTTAAACAAAAATCTCTGTCACCCTCCGAAAATACATTGGTTTTAAGGGGCGCAGGTGATATTACCATGAGACAGAGGTCATGCGCGAAAAATGTGCGTTGCAGGTTCTTCACATTTCCCCACCGTGATGGTCACAAGAACGTTTGATGGCAACAGCCAATTTTATCAAGCGCCGGTGCGATAGCGATTGTAAACAGCAGACTATCAACAAACAAGATGTCATTATCGAGGTTTGCTGCTGTTTCTGAGCTACATATTGAGGAGATTCTTTCCTCCAAGGGCTCAAAAATATTTATTTAAAGATTGTCAACCCTCAAAAATCCATTGTCACCCTCGGCTTCGCCTTGGGTGACAACGGTTTTCTCGGGTTGACAATATTCACTGTCACCTGCTAATGAATGTCATATTTATATAATGTCCAACTTGTGACATTGCACTGTGATAAGTAGCCCAATTGTTATCATGAAGTTAACATAACTTAGTCCAAAATAACAAAACTTTACTGTCTGAACAGCATATCTTACTCGCAGTAGGGCTCTGGAATGTATATAATGTCATTCTGTTATACTGTAGCAATAGTTGAGGCATCCTCGATATACAGGTGTTACGCTCACTTTCGCTTTCTGCACCCCTGGAATATCTCATAGCAAAATTGAAGGCACGGAGATAGCTGCTTGATTAGTGTCGGGTAAAAAAACCTGACCAAATCGCTAGGCTGATACCTGTCCTTTGAAGATTACAAAGGAGAGACGCCTGACTTCAAAGCCTGTTAATTTTTACCGTTATGTGACCGCAAGAGTCTTTTGATGTATGTCTCACCAACAAGGTGGTACACACTGAGCCTTCAATTTTCCTATGACATATTCCAGGGGTGTAGAGAGCGAAAGTGAGCGTAACCTCTGGATATCGAGGATGTAGTTGATGTTGCACAAATTGTTCTATCATAACTCACATTTTATTATCCTAATTAGTGTGCCCCCATTTAACGTAGTTTTTAAGAGCTCCGGGTGCTAATACAGTGTAATGGTGAATATGGTAACCAAGTTACTTTTAATAGATTAATTCCAATTTTGATGATTTAAACCTCATATTGTTTATCTGTGCTGAAAATAACAGCAGGTTTGAATCAAAGATTAATGAACAGAAATATACATGATTCGTAAAGAATTTCACAAAACCCATTGGAGATTTACAGTGTACATTTTCAGAATACATTTTTTTTAAGGATCCATGTATCATTGCCAAGATTGTAAATCTGCATTGGAAACATGTTATGAAATGGCTATACCTTTGGTATACAACTTTTGAAAAGACACCCCCAACCTTGTGTAACATCCACTCACCATTTTGGATGAGGTGTTGCTTTTTCCGGCGACGACGGCGACAGCGTCAACGTTAAATGTTTGTGTTTAAGTTAGTTTCTCTGAAAGTATGAGTGCTACACCAACTAAAATTGGACCATAGATGCATCTTAGATAGTACATATCAATCCGTGCATCAAATGCTGGATGCGGCATACATATCGTGATCCATTGACTTTGTCAGCATCTCCATCAACATTAAGTTTTAGCATTTAAGTTTGTTTCTCTGAAAGTATAAGTGCTACACCAACCAAACTTGGACCATAGATGTATCTTAGGTAGTACATCTCAACCCATCGTCAAATGCTGGATGTGGCCTACCTTTTATGGTCCATTGACTTTGTTAGCATCTCCATCAACATTAAGTTTTTGCGTTTATGATTGATGGTCAAAGTGGGGCATATAGGCGAGACATATCAATCTGAATAGCTTGTGTTTAATTACATGTGTAATTATAAGTTGTATAAAACATAATGTTTCTAATTTGATGGAGAAAAGTTCTTTATTTGCGATATAGCACATAAGAAACAAAAACATTTGTCAACGTTATTGCATAAAGCAGAAAAAAACCTTGTTATTTTGATGTAATAATACAAAAGAATAAAAAGTGCATTACTGAAATTTTAAAATTAAACGGATTTTCCAAAGTAATACAAATTATGTGTGTAAAAGAAAAGTAGTCCTTCTTTAGAAAACTAGTAATAAAGGTAAAATAAACATAATTAAAGAATTGAAACAAATATCAACAATTCAACAACAGTGTTCTAAGTTATGTAACAGGAGAGTAAACACAATTTGTCAGGTGGCAAAGTGGAAAGTGCACAAGAAGAAAGAGCAACTTATATAAGTTGATTGAGCTTGTTTCAAAATTTTGTAAAATAGAAAGTGTGTAATTTTCTAAACACATTGTACGTGGATAAGAATATTTTATACATCTTCTTTTTGCAGTGGGCATTTGTTCTGGTCAAGTTTATGAAGGTCAGACTGACTGTTCTTGGCAAACCAGGAGAGGAGGAACGAGTCTGGGACTTGATCTTACAGACTAGACATAAACTGGGCGAGCTCAAGCAACGGAGACTGGTAAGTGTCCTGTAACCTAGGCTTTCCAGTAGGACCATCACAAGTATTTTGTAACTGTGTTGGGGTATCTTCCTTTGATTTTGTTATATACCATTACAAAACTCTATAAAATTGCCTGAGTTCTATCAGTAGCTAGTGAATTTCTATTTTAATATTGTGAACCCTTTCACCCCTACGTAACTTTAGTAGACTCTACCATGCATGCATTGAAATGGATGAGTCCATTATGGCCTACAGTGGTGAAAGAATTAAAAGTTACTGAACTTCATACAAATATTGTTCAATCCAGCGACTTTCATTTACATGTTGTTTAAAACTGCCATTGAGATGGTGTATACACATTTCAGTCAGCGCAGCAATGTTGCATTGCAACAATGTATCTTTGCACCACCATCAATACATAGTGCTCAAGTGTATTGACTTGCATGTGGCAAAGGGTTAAGTTAGTGAACTTCATTTTGGTACTTTTTAAGTAACTTTCAACTTTTTCTAGAATATCTGAAAAGGCATTGGCTTATTTGTTTATAAACTGAAAAAGTAATGTTAAACTGATAAGTATAATTATGACCAATTCGCTGATGGATATTTGACATGCATTTTTTAAGATAATTTACTGTGTATGCTGTCTTGTGAATATGGATTACAGAATTTATGAAAAAAAAATATTGTTAATCAGCCAGGGACATAGAACTAACAATTATCAGCATTAAAGTTCATTGGTAGATATAGAATTATTTTCTATGTTGAAGGACTTGACCCTTTTGTACCAGACAGTGATCACCATGGTTTCTGCTGCAGCTGAGGCTGCACTCATAGCAGGTGTGTATGTGTGGTGTCTTATCACAGGTGTGGGTATGTAGTGTTATATTACAGGTGTGCATGTGTGGTGCCTTATCACAGATGTGGGTATGTAGTGTCATATTACAGGGGTGTATGTGTGGTGTCTTATCACAGATGTTGGTATGTGGGGTCATATTACAAGTGTGTATGTGTGGTGTCTTATCACAGGGGTGGGTATGTGTGGTGTCTTATCACAGATGTGGGTATCTAGTGTCATATTACGGATGTGGGTATGTAGTGTCATATTACAGGTGGGGATATGTGTTGTGTCTTATAACCGGAGTGGGTATGTGTGGTGTCTTATTACAGGTGTGGATATGTGTGGTGTCTTATCACATGTGTGGGTATGTGTGGTGTCTTATTACAGGTGTGGATATGTGTGGTGTCTTATCACATGTGTGGGTATGTGTGGTGTCTTATTACAGGTGTGGATATGTGTGGTGTCTTATCACATGTGTGGGTATGTGTGGTGTCTTATTACAGGTGTGTGTGTATGTGTGGTGTCTTATCACAGATGTTGGTATGTGGGGTCATATTACAAGTGTGTATGTGTGGTGTCTTATCACAGGTGTTGGTATGTAGTGTCATATTACAAGTGTGTATGTGCGGTGTCTTATCACAGGTGTGGGTATGTGTGGTGTTATATTACAGGTGTGGGTATGTGGAGTCTTATAACAGGTGTGTGTATGTGTGGTGTCTTATCAAAGGTTAGTGTATGTGGTGTTATATTACAGGTGTGGGTATGTGATGTTATATTACAGGTGTGTGTAGTTATATTTCAGGTGTGGGTATGTAGTATCTTATCATAGGTGTGGGTATGTAATGTCATATTAAAGGTGTGGGTATTCACAGGTGTGGGTATGTAGTGTTATATTACAGGTGGGTATGTGTGGTGTCTTATCACAGGTGGGGGTATGTGTGGTGTCTTATCACAGGTGTGGGTTTGTGTGGTGTCTTATCACAGGTGCACTCATAGCAGGTGTGTATGTGTGGTGTCTTATCACAGGTGTTGGTATGTAGTGTCATATTACAAGTGTGTATGTGTGGTGTCTTATCACAGGTGTGGGTATGTGTGGTGCCTTATCACAGATGTGGGTATGTAGTGTCATATTACAGATGTGTATGTGTGGTGTCTTATCACAGATGTGGATATGTAGTGTCATATTACAGATGTGGGGATGTGTGGGGTCTTATCACAGGTGTGGGTATGTGCTGTTATATTACAGGGGGGGATATGTGTGGTGTCTTATCACAGGTGTGGGTATCTAGTGTCATATTACAGATGTGGGTATGTAGTGTCATATTACAGGTGTGTGTATGTGTGGTGTCTTATCACAGGTGTGTGTATGTGTGGTGTCTTATCACAGATGTGGGTATCTAGTGTCATATTACAGATGTGGGTATGTAGTGTCATATTACAGGTGGGGATATGTGTTGTGTCTTATAACAGGTGTGGGTATGTGTGGTGTCTTATTACAGGTGTGTGTATGTGTGGTGTCTTATTACAGGTGTGGATATGTGTGGTGTCTTATCACATGTGTGGGTATGTGTGGTGTCTTATTACAGGTGTGGGTAAGTGTGATGTCTTATTACAGGTGAGGGTATGTGATGTTATATTACAGGTGTGGGAAAGTGTGATGTCTTATTACCGGTGTGTGTATTTGGTGTTATATTACCAGTGTGTGTTTGTGATGTTATATTACAAGTGTGGGTATGTGATGTTATATTACAGGTGCGTGTATGTTATGTTATATTACAGGTGTGGGTATGTGATGTTATATTACAGGTGTGTGTAGTTATATTACAGGTGTGGGTATGTAGTATCTTATCATAGGTGTGGGTATGTAATGTCATATTAAAGGTGTGGGTATGTGTGGTGTCTTATCACAAGTGTGGGTATGTGGTGTTATATTATAGGTGTGGGTATGTGGTGTTATATTACAGGTGTGGGTATGTGGAGTCTTATAACAGGTGTGTGTATGTGTGGTGTCTTATCAAAGGTTAGTGTATGTGGTGTTATATTACAGGTGTGGGTATGTGGAGTCTTATAACAGGTGTGTGTATGTGTGGTGTCTTATCACAGGTGTGGGTAAGTGTGATGTCTTATTACAGGTGTGGGTTTGTGTGGTGTCTTATCACAGGTGTGGGTATGTGTGGTGTTATATTACAGGTGTGTGTATGTGATGTTATATTACAGATGTGGGTATGTGGTGTTAAATTACAGGTGTGGGTATGTAGTGTCTTATCACAGGTGTGGGTATGTAATGTCATATTAAAGGGGTGGGTATGTATGGTGTCTTATGACAAGTGTGGGTATGTGGTGTTATGTTACAGGTGGGGGGATGTGTTGTTATATTACAGGTGTGGGTATGTAGTGTCTTATCACAGGTGTGGGTATGTAATGTCATATTAAAGGTGTGGGTATGTATGGTGTCTTATCACAAGTGTGGGTATGTGGTGTTATGTTACAGGTGGGGGTATGTGTTGTTATATTACAGGTGTGGGTATGTAGTGTCATAATACAGGTGTTTGTATGTGGTGTACCATACAGGTGTTTGTATGTGGTGTAGCATCCAAGTGTTTGTATGTGGTGTACCATACAGGTGTTTGTATGTGGTGTATCATACAGGTGTTTGTATGTGGTGTATCATACAGGTGTTTGCATGTAGTGTATCATACAGGTGTTTGTATGTGGTGTACCATACAGGTGTTTGTATGTGGTGTATCATACAGGTGTTTGTATGTGGTGTATCATACAGGTGTTTGTATGTAGTGTATCATACTGGTGTTTGTATGTGGTGTACCATACAGGTGTTTGTATGTGGTATACCATACAGGTGTTTGTATGTGGTGTATCATACAGGTGTTTGTATGTGGTGTATCATACAGGTGTTTGTATGTGGTGTCTTATAAATGGTGTGGGTATGTGGTGTTTCATTACATGTGTGTTTGTGTGTATATCAATAAACTGTTTTACTACCTTGGCTTTTTAGGTATAGAATACCAGGTGTCATCTGCAAATGAGGCCATGCAAAGCTCACAGCTATCCCTGAAAGGTATACAGGATACAAGTTTAGAGGCAGAGAAGGAACTCACAAATATCCAGGTGGAAACCATCGCCAAGGAAACCAAGCATGCTGAGGCAGAGGAAAAGAAAAAAGAAAAGAAAAAAGAAAATGAGGAAAAAAATCAACAAGAAGGAGAGGAGAAGATAACAAAGGAAGCCCCTGAAGGGGAGAAAGAAACTGGCAGAGAGGAAAACTTAGAGAGTCAAGAGGTCATTATAACAGATTTCAAAACTGATGAACTAGATAGGCTGAATAAGGAACGTTATGTTACCTTTGTTGACGACTCCAAAGTGGGGGAGAACAATGATGTTGAGAGTGATAATAGTGATAGTATTTTTAACGAGAATGTGCAAGTTGATTCCGATGACAAAGCCACGGAAAAAGAAATATTTCTGGAGGAAATAAAAAAGGATAAATTTGACCCAGATCAGTGGAAGGACCAGTAACAAAGGACTGTATGTATGGTTTACAAATCCATCAACATATTGTACCTTTAAATGGACTTTTCAAGTCACCGGTTCCCTAATTGTGAATACCTCTCTGATACTATTATGAAAAGATTTATTTGTATTTTTATATGATGGTTGCCATGGTAACAAGTTGAAATGTTTGTAAATAAGAGAAAATATAATATTCAGTTCATCATGTCATGATTTTGCATATTGAAGGGACTGAAATGATACTTTGCTTGCATTATCCCACTGGTCTGTAATTATCCATGCTCCTGTTTGGAAGAAAGAATCGCCACCAAGCATTTATCTTCAGATTTTACATGTGGCGCTTGTTCCTGCTATTTCTCAGAGACCGCTTTAGGGATCATGATGAAACATTGATGGCGTATCTTCTTGGTTAATAGTTGTAATTGTTCTTATTTAAGATATATTGGGGAAACAGAATGGCCTCCAAGTAGACAACTTTTATTTTGCATTTCAAGGTTTTTTGGAGTGTTTATGATATCACATCATGATCATTGCACAATTAAACAACGCCAATCAATCCCTCAGTCATTACTTGAAAAAGGGACCAGTCAGTCTTGAATGAAACACTGACATATTTATATGTTCTTGGTGTAGTAAGCAAAACATTATTGTATTTCCAAACTTATGAATTTTGACTCTTTCAATTATTGAAATCCTCTGGTATTAATTTCAGAATATTTCATGAGAATTAAACAGAACAAATGTAATGCAAATAATGGTAAAATAAAAATAAGCTCTGAAAGTGAGTCGTATTTCTGAATTTTTCTTTCTATTGATTTCATCAGCTGTATAGAAATATATATCATGCAAACACACACTTACATAGAGAATAAAACAAAGGTACCAGGAAATGACACCAGGATCTACTCGAGTCTATGTGTTTTCGAGCGATTCTAAGTGCATCGTCACTGGGTGTGTTGGTAAAGACAGATACAACATCATGTAATATGAATGCTTTGTCGTTAATTATGAACCATGATCATGAACATATTTTCGCTAGATGTTTAGATGTTTTAACATGGTGGTCCTATTTTCCTCCTACCAGTCGAAGAATGTCTGCTTAAGACCTGGAACCAGTATAGTCCAAAATAGGTCACAATGGGTTCCTCTTTTTATGGATCTTGGATGTTTGGATTCGCACCTTTTTAACTTTTGAGTTGGATTGATTTGAAGCTGTTCACATGTTTTGCTGTTCCGAAGCATGGTCACAACCTTTCCCTCATAATTGTCGGTATCCATGACGACTGTTGCTTTACAACTATCAGCTAATAATATTGTAATAGCTTTGTTCCTGCCTAATATTTAAGTGCGACCTGCTTTTCTTGTGTCATGCTACTTCTTGGTATGTTTGTAGATTTTAGAACCCACGTCACATGTGATCTCCGTTAATCATCTACAGCATGGCTCAGTTCCTTTCACGTTTGTTCTGTTGCTATGACGAAATAATCAACCGGCATTTTTTCTGGAACGATGAAATAGTTCAGACCCTTAGCGAGTAACGTTTTATCACTACCCACATATTCTGCAAAGTATCATTCAAAGCATCCTCGATATCCAGGGGTTATGCTTACTTTCGCTGTCTGCACTCCTGGGATATGTCATATCAAAATTGAAGGCTCAGTGTACGCCACCTTGTTCCTTTGATATACATCAAAAGAATCTCGCGGTCGAGTAACCGTAAAAAAAAGACAGGCTTTGAAGTCGGGTGTCTCTCCTTTATAATCGTCAAAGGACAGGTATCAGCGTAGCGATTGGTCAGGTTTTTTTTTACCTGAGACCAATCAAACAGCTATCTTCGTGCCTTCAATTTTGCGATGACATATTCCAAGGGTGTAGAGAGCGAAAGTAAGCATAACACCTGGATATCGAGGATGCATTCAAAGCTATATCTGTATTGGCGTTCTTTTGTATTGTTTTCTCTATAAGACGGTTTGACTTAATCAAATGGTGTTGTTTGGTTGTGCCAGACGTTCATTCATATGTACGCTCTTAGGGAGTGGGTAAACATGCCGTTGTAGACATGGTACACTCATTTAGAATAATAAAAGGTATTGACAAACTAAATAAACATGTTTTTTTTATATGGTTACAGACTGTTGTACCAGGGGGCACAACATACAAATACAAAGTATAGACTAAATAAAGTGATACAGCCTGTCAGAGGAAGTAGTTAACAGTTATAGTATAGGCGACTCCCCCCTCCCCCCAATAAGAAAATCAAAAATCAAACAGCATTAATTAGGTGATTTGTATATTTAATCACATCTCTTTAATTTGCACAATACATTCTTAATCACGTACTAGTAGTAACTATATCTATTTTAGAATATCTGTGGAAGTAATATTTTTCAGATTCAGATTCTTTATTTCCTTGTGTTTTTCAACACATCTGAGAGAAGACGTTACATAATATACAGTATCATGTATATTATGAAAATTAGTCTAACATATACATGCACTTTGATCTTACTTCATATTATATTGATATACATATTATTCTAATGCAGTTAGGTAGCAGTGTACAGTAGCGTAGGATGGCCATGGGTGATATTTTTATACAATGAATAACCCCTGTAATATAACATGTATCAACATTTAAAAAAAGCACTAAAATTGGCATATACATGATGAAGTGGACTAGGTGGGCTTCATAATTTAAAAAAAAATCGAATTTGGTTTGAGACTACAGTTTTGGGCATTTACAAATCTGTGTCTACACAACAAAAGCTAGCTTTTCATGAAGTCTATTTTTGTACTCAGCACATGTGTAAATATTGTGAAAAATTCACCGGACTGACCTATGCTTAAGCGTGAGTATTTCTGTTACCGAGTAGGCGGTATTTAATTTCAGACGGGTTTTAAGATTATTTTTTTTTGCATATTTTGGTGTTTTTTTGATGTGGTAACCATGGTTTTCACAAGTCACAAATCTGGGGAAAACAGTTTTTGAAATAAAAATCAGTCTTCTAAACAAAATGAAATCAAAATGTAGTTTATAAATATGTATATATATGTAGGTGTGTTGTGCAGGTTGAAATCACTATCCATGTTTATCTGAGACATGCCCTTTATTTTAAGGGTCAAGTCATTTCTACTGTACACTGCTACCTTAGATGCAACAACACACATCATAACAATATAACATATTACTTTCAAATACACTATAATATAGCAAGTCACAAGTGAATATCACACATCGTAACCGTAGAGTTGGTTATAATGTTGTATGATATACTATAATATACAATTATAGCATGGTGATGAGGTCGATACATGGTTTTATCGACCTAGGTTAGCAATATTGACTGAGGACGCAGTCCGAGGTCAATATTGCTAACCTAGGTCGATAAAACCATGTATCGACCGAAATCACCATGCTACAATAGTTTTATTATTTTAATTGAGTTTTTCAAAATTGAAGAAAAAAATGTACAAAAATATAGTTTTCCATTTTTTTTCCCATTTTTTTTCCAGAATCTATTTATAGCTGGTCAGTAACACTTTTTCTACCAACTTTTTTACAAAAATTCCAGAATCTATAGCAGGTTAATAACACTTTTTCTACCAACTTTTTTGAACACCTGTTCCAGAATCTATTTATAGCAGGTCAATAACACTTGTTCTACCAACTTTTTTGAACACCTGCAAACCACTCAGGTTTATAACTACCTTTACAGGTGGTCACATGATGTTGTTTCAGCCTATCAGAGTCAGCTCAAAATCAATTAAAATAATAATATATTATAAAGTCCTACACTATACATACTGATAGCACAGTATACTATAGTTAGATGCATTAATATACAATTACTTTCATTATATTCTTTCAGCATTTTTTTAATGATATTTTAATTTAAATGATTAAATAACGATCTATAACATCAATGTTATACCATATATTAGAGCACAATGTATGATATTGATGTACAGTGTGATCGAGAAATGAAAGATAATTTACACATATGTCTTTACTTGAGTAATAATAGAAATTCAATGATACATTGAGAATTAAATTCACATTTAATTTCCTTTGCATCATTTCAGCTATGATGTACTTCTCATATTTAAACCAATAACTGTAAAGGAAGGTTATCAACCGTTACATATTCGCAGAAACCACACCCGAATATGATACAGGGAATTTTTAGGTCACCTGAGACAAAGTCTTAAGGTCATTGGAGTGTATTGATAAACGGAAACAGGAAGTACATCCCTAGTTGAATATCCAATGTAGGGAGACAGCATCACAATTTCCGCAAATTCTAATGTTTAATATTAAATTGATGAATATTGTATGTTTATTATTGACAGAACAATGTGTTCTCTCAATATTAAAGTATTTCAAAGCAATCCAGGCATTAATTCAGGTTTTTTTTTTATCAATGAGTCACATGTGTCCATTTTTCTGTACTTCAGGAAACCGGCTACCTATTTGACTACTGTGAAGTTTTTCAAGAACGATAAATCTTACCTGCAATTACTATGTGTATATGGTTTTATTATAAAATGTCAATTTTTATATCGTGTATAGAGAATTAATTTTACACAATTTCAGCATTTATTAAATTGATATACATGAATGCAATACTTATATATGTCAGTATCATTTTTATTGACATTATTTTGTAAAAATATTGTGTCTTTCATTTTTTTTTCAAAATTCACTCCTTTTTACATAAATTTCCATTTAAAATCCTTAAAATTCTAACAACCTATATTTTTTTTGTGGCAGAAAATTTTCTTAACTTTCAAGCAATATAACTACAAAATTTGAAGAAATTCTACTGAGAAATGGTGACACAATCCTATTACCTTAAGTGACCTGTTGCGATGGCCTTTTGTCCGGCGTCGTCCGTCGTGCGTCCGTAAACAATTGACATTTTCGACTTCTTCTCCAAAACCTCTGAACCAATTTCAATGAAATTTTGCAGAAACCTTCCATGGCCAAAGGTCAACAAATGTAGTGGCAGGTTTGGGCCCCAGCCCCCAGGGGCCTGAGGGGTGGGGCCAAAAAGGGTCAAATTGACTAAAATTTCAAAAATCTTCTTCTCAAGACCCAGATATGGTAGAATCAAATACTCTTCATAGATGGAAGGGTCTTAAGGTGCTTTAC